CATGGACAGGAGAGTGAGGAGAGGGAGTCACTTTAACAGGATGAGAGAGAGGGGTGGGAGTCACATGAACAGGAGAGTGAGGGGAGGGAGCCACATGAACAGGAGAGTGAGGGGAGGGAGTCATACTAACAGGAGAGTGAGGGAAGGAGTCACGAAAACAGGAGGAGATTTGAGGAGGCAGTTGAACTGACATAGAGTGAGGGGAAGGAGCCACACTAATACAAGGAGAGTGAGGGGAGGGAGTCACACGAACAGGAGAATGAGGGAAGGGAGTCACACTAACAGGAGAGGAGGAAGTCACATTGACTGGAGCAGTGTGTTGGGAGGGAGTCACACTAACAGAGGTCGAGTGGTGGGAGTCACACTGACTGGAATAGGGTGAGGGAAATGTGTCACACGAACAGGAGAGTGAAGGCCAGGAGTCACACTAACAGGAGGAGAGTGAGAGAAGGGAGCCACACTGACAGAGATTTGAGGTGAGGGTGTCACAATAGCACAAGGAGAGTGAGGGGATAGAGTCATATTGACAGCAGACGAGTGAGAGGAGGGAGTCACACTAACAGGGTGAGATTGAGGGGAGGGACTCACTATAACAGGATTGTGAGGGTAGGTCGTCACCTTAACAGTTGAGGAGAGTTGAGCAGGGAGTCAAATTAACAGAGAGTGAGGGGAGGGAGTCACGTTAACAAGAAGAGAGTTGAGCAGGGAGTCACATTTACAGAGAGTGAGGGGAGGGAGTCACACTAACGGAGAGTGAGGAAAGGGAGTCACTCTAACGGACAGTAAGGGGAGGGTGTGACACTAACAGAGAGTGAGGGAAGCGAGTCACACTAACGGAGAGTGAGGGGACGGTGTGACACTAATGGAGAATGAGGGAAGCGAGTCACACCAACGGAGAGTGAGTGGAGGGAGTCACTCTAACAGAGAGTGAGGGGAGGGAGTCACTCTAACAGAGAGTGAGGGCAGGGAGTCACATTAATGGAGAGTGAGGGGAGGGTGTCACACTAACGGAGAGTGAGGAGAGGGAGTCACTCTAACAGAGAGTGAGGGGAGGGTGTCACACTATCGGAGAGTGAGGGGCAGTGAGTCACACTAACAGAGAGTGAGGGGAGGGAGTCACTCTAACGGAGAGTGAGGGGAGGGAGTCACACTAACGGAGAGTGAGGGGAGGGTGTAACACTAACGGAGAGTGAGTGGAGGGAGTCACTCTAATGGAGAGTGAGGGGAGGGAGTGACACTAACGGAGAGTGAGGGAAGCGAGTCACACTAACGAGACTGAGAGGAGGGAGTCACACTAACAGAGACTGAGAGGAGGGAGTCACCCTAACGGAGACTGAGGGAAACGCGTCACACTAACACATAGAGAGTCCGAGGTGGTTATCACTCTCAGGAGGGGATTGGTGGAGTGAGTCACACTAACAGGAAGAGAGTGAGGGGAGGGAGTCACACTGACAAGAGGAGAGGGAGTCACAATGACAGGGGGACAATGATGGAAGGGAGTCACACTAAGACGTGGAGACCGGGGCAGGGAGTAATACTAACAGTACCAGGTTGAGGGGAGGGATTCACATAAACAGGAGGGTGAGGGGAGGGAGTCACATTAACAGGAGGAGATTTGAGGAGGTAGATACACTAACAGAGAGTGAGGGGTGGGAGTCACAGTAACTGGAGGAGAGTGAGGGGTGGGAGTCACAGTAACTGGAGGAGAAGGAGAGGAGGGAGTCACACTAAAGGAGAGTGAGGGGAGGGAGTCACACTGGCAGGAGGACACAGGGCTCTCTGTACTCTAACCACTGCATTAACGCTCACACAGGCTCTCTGTACACAACCCGTTCCATGAACACCCACACTGGGCTCTCTGTACATGACCCACTGCATTAACGCTCACACAGGGCTCTCTGTACATGACCCACTGCATTAACGCTCACACTGGGCTCTCTGTACATGACCCACTGCATTAACAGAGAGGATGTTTCCACTGGCAGGTGAAGCTAGGACAGGAGGGCATAGCCTCAAGATTAGAGAGAGCAGATTTAGGACTGAATTGAGAAGGAATTTCTTCACCCAGAGGGTTGTTAATCTATGGAATTCCTTGCCCAGTGAAGTAGTTGACGCTACTTCAGTAAATGTTTTTAAAAAAAAGGTAGTTTTTTTTGAACAATAAAGGAATTAAGGGATACAGTGAGAACGCGGGTAAGTGGATCTGAGTCCACAAAAAGATCAGCCATGATCTTATTGAATGGCGGAGCAGGCTTGAAGGGCCAGACGGCCTACTCCTGCTCCTAGTTCTTATGTAACACTCACACAGGGCTCTCTGTACATGACCCATTGCATTAACCTTCACACAGGGCTCTCTGTACTCTACCCACTGCATTAACACTCACACAGGGCTCTCTGTACACAACCAGCTCCATTAACACCCACACTGGGCTCTCTGTACATGACCCACTGCACTAACGCTCACACAGGGCTCTCTGTACATGACCCACTGCACTAACGCTCACACAGGGCTCTCTGTACATGACCCACTCCATTAACACCCACACTGGGCTCTCTGTACATGACCCACTCCATTAACACCCGCACTGGGCTCTCTGTACACGACCCGCTCCATTAACCCGCACTGGGCTCTCTGTACACGACCCGCTCCATTAACCCGCACTGGGCTCTCTGTACACGAACCACTCCACTAATTTACACCTAATGAATTGTCTAATTTTGAGACAGGTTGCTAAGTTCGGCTCCTCACTCACCCCCTTAATCACTGACTTACATTGGTTCCCAGTAAACAACATCCAGATTATAAACATCTCATCCTGGGTTTCAAATCCTTCCACACCTTTACCTGGCAGTTCCTGTGATTCCCTCTGGGTCCCAAACCATCTTAGATATCTGCACCCATCTCATTCTGGCATCTCGATCATCCCATATTAAATTCAGGGCTGTACCTTCAGTTCGCTGGGATCTAACTCACTCCCCCACCCACACCTTTCCATCTCTCTTCAAAAAGCTCTTTGTCACCAAGCCAGTTCTGAAAAAGGGTTTTCTATCCACAGATACTGTCAGACCTGCTGAGTTTCTCCAGCAATTTCTGCTTTTTTGCTTGTTCCGCTCCAGGATTTGTTGCCCCGAGGTCATAATCTGACCAAACAGGGTGTTTATCAGCCCATTGATCTTTCCAATCCACCTGGTGGCATTCACTGAGCACGGTAAAGAAATCCTGCAGAAGGCAATGTCGGAGCAATTCAGTATTTTACCCGGAATTATCAGAGACCCCATTCGCCCTGTGGCTCACCCTTGGTAACAGGGGGAATTGAAATTGAGAAAATGTAGTTTGGTACTTTGTTTTGTAAAATTCCCCTGAAAAGACGTGAGGTGGAATAGAGGGATACAGTCCGTAGAAGGGTAGGGGGTTTTAGTTGCAATGGGCAGCATGTCAGTGCAGATTTGGAGGGCCAAAGGGCCTGTTCCTGTGCTGTAATTTTTTTTGTTCTTTATTCTTTGTTTATCACTGCCTGAAAGAAACGTGATGTGGACGTGCTGGTGTTGGACTGAGATGGCCAAAATCAGAAATCATACAACACTAGGTTATAGTCCAACAAGTTAATTTGAAAACACAAGCTTTCGGAGCATAGCCCCATTGTCAGGTGAAGTGAGAAAGAAGTACACAGAGCACAGAATTCATAAGTAAAAGATCAAAGGGTCACACAATTGGGATGAGGATGTATTAAACAAATCTAAGATGCTGTTAAATCTTTAATCAGTTAGAACTAATTGTTTAATTGATTAATATGTATATGTTAATCCCCAAATTTCTTTCAAGTCACTGTACTGAGGGAACTATAGGTTTTATCAGTGTAAAGAGATGATATTTTAGGTCAGACAATGCGTGTTAGGTGTGAGACCTTGTTTAGAACCTGTTTGTGTTTTGGTATGGAGTCAGACTGGTTTTATTTCTAAAATAGGAATTTATAAAATGCCACATTGACTGACCGTCTATAAATTGTGTGTTTTTTGAAGAAAATAGAATGTATCTGCAAATACAGATTCACCCCGTAGATTCACCTTTGTGTGTGTTTACGTGTGTGTGAAGAGGCAATATGTGAGTAATTCTGTTTCGCTTTCCGAACAGTAAACTGAGAAACGACTTCCCAGTAACTGGTATCAGAGATAGTAGGAACTGCAGATGCTGGAGAATCTGAGATTTCTGAAGAAGGGTCTAGACCCGAAACGTCGGTCTTCCTGCTCCTATGATGCGGCTTGGCCTGTGTTCATCCAGCTCTACACCTTGTTATCCCAGTAACTGATGACGAGCAACTGCCTAATTGGATGTTTTTTTTTGGAGTCTGACCGGTTACTGATACCGCAATCAGGAAATGGTCGATGTTGCAACAAGGAATGGTGCTTCGATAAACTTTGCTGTTGTTTTCAAGTTTATTAACAGCACTTGTTTTGTTCGCCCTCAGGGTGTTTTATTCCCTATCCCTGAATGAAACTGGGACTGTGGATTCCCAGAATGTTGCTGATCCTTTTCTCCATCTCCCTGTGTTTTTCCTGGGTCTCCCCTGGTAAGTACAGAATTTATTTCCATTCTCTCCCTCTCTCTCTCTGGAGTGAATGTGAATCTCATGGTGAGAGTTTGAGTGAGGGATGTTTGACCAGCCGCCTGTTTTACAGCCAGCCTGATATTTTATACATTGAAGGCAGCACAGCCTGGGAGACTCAGATGGGTCCAGGTCTCCTGACAGCAGGATTAGAAACCCCGAGATCAGAAAAGCTCGGAGCAAATGGGAAATGGTTCCAATGGACAATTTTAATTTCACATCGATTGGGAGAAGCCAAACAGCTTCACCTGTCCTGGTCTAAAATCTAGTAAATACTGCGGGGAGGAGGAGGATATTTTATTTAAACCAATACATTGATGTGGTGAATTAAAGGAAAAATCACGCTGTGGGAGAATTTCTGAACTTTTGGAATCTTCCTTGGCCCATCTTTCAATGTGTTTTGAACATGACAAGGGAGCAGGTTGTGGTCATGATCTGATGAAACAGAAATAATTTACACCATGCCCTTAAGGGGAGAATTTGTAAGCTGGAGATGTGGTGGCACATAAATCAAAGCATTGAATTTATGTAGAAGGGCGGATTTCCCCCCAACAACTGAACTGCTTCAACTTCTCTGAGGTGTCAGGGATGGATTGATAGGGGGAAAAAAACAAGAGGAGAAGTCTTGAGGAATACAAGATTGAAATAATTCCATTAAAGGATAAGAATTCCACTTGTAGAGCCAAAGTCCACATATAGGGCAAGGCCTAGTCCAAAGTCAAAGTAAGTATCTGCAAATACAAAATGCACGTGATAATGGGAGAAATAAATGAAACAATAAAGAAGCAGAAGGATTTTTCTGAGAAACGAAAGTTCAGGTACTAAAAAGGCCAATAGAAAAATGAGCGGAGGAACATGTTTGACAGTGTGCATGAGGCTGTTATTGGACGCTGCAGGAAATGCTGCAGATGAGCGTATTTCAACAGGCCCGATCCACTGCTCCTTATGTTCAAGGAAGTGTTTTTGTAAATGAGCTGCCAGAGGAAGTGGTAGAAGCTCGTACAATTAAAACATTTAAAAGGCATCTAGATGAGCACAGTCACTGTTGTCATCTGAAGGGCCACACCTCCAATGGTGCCAACCCCCTCCAAGAGTAGCACTTAACAGTTTCCCTTTGACAGTGTAACATTCCCATAGTACTGACCCTTCGACAGTGTAACACATACTCAGTACTGTCGCTCTGACACTGCAGCATTCCTACAGGACTGACACTCCTGCAGTGTAACTATTTACTCAGAACTGACCTTTGACAGTGCAGTGTTCCCTTAGTTTTGTCTCTCTGCCACTGTAGCATTCCCACAATACTGACCATCCAACAATGCAGTGCTCCCTCAGTACTGAGCCTCTGCCAGCATTGCAGTTTGTCAATGTTGTTCCTTTGATACTGTAACATTCCCACTGTAGGAAGTCTGGCAGCATTCAAAGTTCTGAATTAGGGTCCCTGGACCCGAAAGTTTAACTCTGCTTCCTGTCCAGACCTGCTGAGTTTTACCAGCAATTTCTGTTTTTGTTTCTGATATCCGCAATCTGGGATTTGATTTTTTTTTATTTAACATTCCCACTGTACTGATATTATGACAATGCGGTGTTCCCTCTGTACTGCTCCCCTGAGAGTGTAGCATTCCCATAGTAGTGACCCTTGAACAGTGTTGCACCGTACTCAGTACTGGCCTTCCTGCGTCCCTCCTTTCTTATGTTCCTAACTTTGTGTAGAAACATCCTTTTTTCTCTGGAAGTGTCAAACTGAAACTGCAAGATTGCTGTAGGATATTCCTGAAACTTTAAGACAGAAGTGCTGCCGGACAAAGAGACCTCAGAGTGCAGGTTCATTGTTCCTTGAAAGTGGAGTTGGAGGTAGGCAGAGTAGTGAAGCAGGTGTTTGGTACACTTGCTACTATTGGTCTGTGCATTGAGTATAGGAGTTGGGAGGTCATCCTGTGGCTGCACGGGGCATTAGTTAAGCCACTTTTGGAATACTATGTTCAATTCAGGTCTCCCTGCTATAGGAAAGATGTTGTGAAATTTCAAAGGGCTCAGAAAACATACAAAATGTTGCCAGAGTTGCCAACAACCCACAGCCACTCTATGACAAACACTCACAAGGATTAAAGGCCCCATTCCCACAACGTGCAGAGCCAACGTAGTTTAAAAAATACCACACGACGAATGCCACAAACATTAAATTGGACAGACAGGAAGGAAACTAACCATCAGAATGCACAAACATCAGCTAGCAGCAAAACAACACGACGAACCTTTCCTAATATCGGTACACTCGTACAATGAAGGCCATCAGTTTAACTGGGACAATGTAACCATCGTAGCCCAAGCCAAACATAGACATGCATGGGAATTCCTAGAGGCTAATCTAGAGGCTGGATCTGGTAATGTGCAGGGAGGCAGGTTTAATAAATGCTGTTAGAGTCAAAATAAGTAGAATTTAACGTTCAGTTTAAGAGGGAGGAACTTGGGTCAGAAACAACTGTAAATAAGGGTAGTTAGAAAGAAATAAGGGCAGAGTTGGCTGGAATGAGCTGGGAAAGAAATTTGGTGCTAAGTTTGTTGAGGAAAAATGGCCGATTTTTCAGAAAATAGTTTAGAGCCTCACAGCAAAGATATATCCCAATGGGTAGAAATGGATTTTAGGAAGGGGACAAACCAACCATGGTTAACCAGGGAAGTTAAGGAAGGCATCAAAATAAAAATAAATGTAAGTTAAATGTGGCAAAGGTTAGTGGCAAGCCAGAGGATTGGGAATATTTTAAAAACCAACAAAAGATGACCAAGAAATTAATAAAGAGGGAGAAGATAAAATTTGAGGGTAAACTTGAAAGTAATAGGAAAACAGACAGCAAGAGCTAATTTAAATATCTGAAAGGAAGAGAAAGTGATCGTAGGTCCCTAGGAGAAGGAGGCTGGGGAAATAATACAGGGGAACCAGGAAATGATAGAGGAGCTGAATAAATACTTTCCATCCATCTTGACAGTAGAAGATACTAATAACATTCCAAAATTACAAAATAATCAAGTGACAAAAGGAGGAGAGGACATAAATGCCTTTCAATGGAGGAAAAAATTGGTGGGAAAAATAATGGGGCTAAAGATCATTAAGTCCCATGGACCTGATGGGATGCATCTGAGGATACTGAAGGAAGTAGCTACAGAGATAGTCAATGCACTGGCCAGAATCTTCTACGACTTCTTTGATTTGGAAATGTCCCAGTGGATTGGAAAACTGCCAAACACCTCTATTTAAGAAGGAAAGAGAGGAAAAAGACAGATATTTATAGGCCAGTTAGCTTTAATGTTTGATATTAGGGAAATATTAGAGTCTATTTGAAAGGATGTAATAGCAGAGCATTTCAAAACATATGATATGATTGAGCAGAGTCAGGGGAAATCATGCCTGACAAATTTATACAAATTCATTGAAGAAGTAATAAGCAGGATAGATAAAAGCAAAATAGTTGATGTAATAAACTTGGATTTTCAGAAGACACTTGACTAAGTGCCACAAACTAAGTTACATAACAAGATAAGTGTCCTTGATGTTGGAGGCAGTACATTTGCATGGATATAGGATTGACTAACTAATAGAAGTCAGAGAGTTGGGGTAAAAGGGGGTATTTTCTTGATGGCAACCTATAACTTGTGGAATGCATCAGGGATCTGTGCTGGGGCCACAATTACTTACAATATATGTTCATGAATTGGATGAGGAAAATGAACATATGTAGTCAAGTGTGTGGATGGCACAAAAATAAGTGGGAAGGCAAGTGCGAAGGCTGATACAAAAAGCCAATAAGAGATATAAACAGGTTAACTGAGTGGGAAGAAGCATGGCAGATAGAATGTATTGTGGGAAAATATGAAGTAATTCACTTTGGCAGGAAGAATTGAGGAGCTGAATATTATTTAAATGGAGAATGACTGCAGAAAATTACAGCACAGTGAGATTTGAGAGTCCTTGTGTATAAATCACAAAAATGGCTTGTAAGTTCAGCGGATATTAGAGAAACCATATAGAATGTTGGCTTTTATGTCAATGATAATGGAGTATAAAATGCGGGAGATTTTGGTAAAACTATATTGGGCACCAGTCAGACCACTGTTGGAATACTGTGAACAGCTTTGGGCCCTTTATGTGAGGATAGATGTGCTGGCATTGGAGGTAGTCTAGAAAAGGTTCGCAAGGCTGGTAACGGGATTGAAGGGACTGGGTTACGAGGAGAGGTTGAATAAGTTGGGCCTGTACTCATTGGAGTTTAGGAGGATGAAAGCTGATCTTATTGAAACATACAAGATTTTTCAGGGCTTTGACAGGGGAGATGCAGAAAGGTTGTTTCCCCTTGGAGGGAATAATCTCAGAATGAGGGATCGCACATTTAGAGTTGAAGTCATTTTCCTGTCAGCGGGTGGTGAGTCTGTGGGAAGTAGTGGCTGGCTTGTCAAGAATTTTCAAGGCTGAGGTAAACATACTTTGAATCAGTCAGGGAATCAAGTGTTATGGGGGAATAGCTAGGAAAGAGGATTTGAGGACTATCAGATCAGCCATGATCTCATTGAATGGCAAAGCAGACTCGATGGGCTGAATGGATCACCTGTGCTCCTAAGTCTCGTGGTCTTATTGTCTTCACTGAGATAGATTTGGTTTTTATATTTGACAGAGTCACACTCTCTGAGGTATTACTACACCTCGATGCTGAACAGTGGGGACTTTCCTGAATTCATTCATGTTGGAGTTTTGGATGGTGTCCAGATAACCTACTATGACAGCATTAGCAAGAAGGATATCCCTCGGCAGTCATGGATGCGGACATCACTGGACGATCAATATTGGGAACAGGAGACACAGAGATTGATCGACCGAGAGAAACTGTGCCTCGCCAATGTGCGGATAGCAACAAGGAGAACAAACAGCAGTGAAACAGGTTAGTGCACACATGGGTTACAGAGTGGCACGTGTTCACAGAGTGTTGGGGCGGCATGGTGGTTCAGTGAGCTTCACAGTACCAGTGACCGGGGTTCGTTTCCAGCCTCGGGCGACTGTCTGTGTGGAGTTTGCACATTCTCCCCGTGTCTGCGTGGGTTTCTTCCGGGTGCTCCGGTTTCCTCCCACAGTCCAAAGACGTGCAGGTTAGGTGGATTGGCCATGCTAAATTTCCCACAGTGTTCAGGGATGTGTAGATTAGGGGGATGGGTCTGGGTGGGATGCTGCGAGGGTCTGTGTGGACTTGTTGGGCCGAAGAGCCTGTTTCCACACTGTAGGGATTCTATGATCTATTCTATGATCTATGAAATACTCATGTTAGAGTGTGACCCAGGTTCATGGGAGGGTTGTAATGGTGAACACATGCTTGTGTTAGAGTGTAATCCAGGTTCACAGGAGGGCTGCAATGGGTAGACATATTCTTGCGTTAGGGTATCACCCAGGCCACAAGAAATTTGTCATGTTGAACACATTTTCATGTTAGTGTGAAACCCAGGCCACAAGAGATCTTTACTGGTGAATATACACTTCTGTCAGTTTGTAACCCAGATCCGTAGGGAAATCTGTGATGGTGTATATGTACTCCTGTCAGTGCGTGACCCAGGTCCTCAGGGAGATCTGTAATGGTGAACATATAATCATGTTAGTGCAACGAGTATAACAGGTAAGGTAGATGAGCTTGGAGCCTGGATTAGTACATGGTGCTGTGATATTACAGTCATCACAGAAACTTGGTTCAGAGAAGGACGGGACTTGCAGCTCAATATTCCAGGGTTTAAATGTTTCTGTCATGATAGAGAGGAATGTAACACCAGCTCGGCGAGCCAACAAACCACAACACCCACAACCCGAGCTACGAATTTACTCTAAAACCTTAGGAATGTAAAAGGGATGGGGTTGTTGCATTACTGATTAAGGACAAGGTACAACTGCACTGAGAGAGGGCATCTTGGAGGCTTCATCCAGCGAGACTATATGGGTAGAACTCGGGAATGAGAAAGGTACATTGATTATGATGGGGTTATACTACAGGCCTCCCTTAGGCCAGCAGGAAACAGATATTTAAGCAAATCATGGAAAGATATTTAAAAAAACAGCAGGTCTGAAAAGGTGGGTGATTTTATCTTCCCCAATATTGACTGGGACTCCCTTACTTCCAGCATGGCTTTATGCAGGGGCAGTCTTGTCTCACAAATTCAATTGGGTTTTTTGAGGAAGAAACAAAGATGATTGTTGAGGGTAGAGCAGTGGATATTGTCTGCATAGACTTCACGAAAGCATTTGACAAGGTCACAAATGGTAGACTGGTCCAAAAGATTTTGACACTTGGGATCCGTGGTGAGGTAGGGGTTGAATGGGACAAAATTTGATTGATTGATTTATTGCTGTCACATGTACTAAGATACAGTGAAAAATGTTGTTTTGCGGGAAGTATAGATGGAGTCAATGGATGGAAGGCTGGTTTGCATGATGGACTGGGCTGTGTTCATGATACTCTGTGATTTCTTGCGATCTTGGGCAGAGCAGTTGCCATACCATGCTGTGATGCATCCAGATTAGATGCTTTCTATGGTACATCCATAAAAATTAGTAAGATTCCTTGTGGACTTGCCAAATTTCCTTAGCCTCCCCGAGGAAGCAGAGATGTTGTTGCGCTTTCATGACCGCCATATCGATATGGGTGGACCAGGACAGGTTGTTAGTGACCATCACTCCTAGGAACATGATGCTCTCGACCATCTCTACCTTAGCACCATTGATGTAGACAGGGGTGTGCCCTCCACTCTGCTTCCTGGAGTCAGTGACCAGTTCCTTCATTTTGCTGAGGTTGATGAAGACATTATTGTCTTTACGTCATGCTGCTAAACACTCAATCTCTTTCCCGTATTCAGTCTCATCATTATTTGTGATCTGACCTACAATAGTGGTGTTGTCAGCAAACCTGTAAATGGAGTTGCATCAGAATTTGTCCACACAGTCGTGAGTGTATAAGGAGTATCATAGGGGGCTGAGTACCTAGCCTTGTGGGGCAACCGTGTTGAGGATTATGGTGGAGGAAGTGTTGTCCCCTATTCTTATTGATTGCAGTCCATGGATCAGGATGTTGAGGATCCAGTTACAGAGGAGTGGGCCAAGACCTAGGTCTCAGAGTTTAGAGATGCGTTTGTTAGGAATTGTGACGTTGAAGGTGGAATTGTAGTCAATAAATAGGAGCCTGATATAGGTATCCTTGTTATCCAATGTTCCAGGGATGAGTGTAGGGCCAAGGAGATGGCATTTGCTGTGGGCCTGTTGCATTGACAGGTGAATTACAAATGAACAAGGCAGTTTGGGAGGCTGGAGATGATGTGAACCATGACTAACCTCTTGAAATACTTCATAATTACAGAGGTCAGTGCCACTGGGCAGTAGTCATTGAGGCATGTTGCATGATTTTCCCTTGGCACCGGCACATTTGTTCCATACAGCCAGGAGGGTTTCTTGAAACGATATGTAGATAGTCCAACTGGGGAAAGGCTGTGCTACATTTTTTATTGAGGAATGAGCCGGGATAAGTGATCACATTCTCTGTGGTGAAGCATTTTAGGAACAGTGATCATAATTCCATAAGTTTTAAGATCGTTTTAGATAAGGGTAAAACTGGTCCTCGGATGAAATATATTGAGGGAGGTTAATTACAACAAGTATTAGGAAGGAACTAGAGAAATTAAATTGGGTGTGGCTGTTGAAGGATAAATTCCCATCTGAAATGAGGGAGCCTTTTAAAGGCAAGTTGATCAGAGTTCAGGACGAGCTTGTACCTGTGACATTGAAAGATAAGGATGGCAAGATTCAGGAACCCTGGATGACAAGAGATATTAGAAGTTTCGTGAGAAAGAAATAAGAAGCATATGTAAGGCTTAGGAATATAAAAGAAGCAGGAAAGAACTTAAACAAGAAATTAGGAGGGCTAGAAGGGGCCAAGAAAGGTCCTTGTGAAGTAGGATTAAGGAGAGTCCCAAGGCATTTTACACATATATATGCAACAAGAGGGTAACTAGGGAAAGAGTAGGTTCACTGACAGACAAAGAGAGAATCTATGCATGGAACCAGGGCAAGTGGGTGAGGTCCTTATTGAGTACTGTTCATCAGTATTTGCCAAGGAGAAGGGCATGGATGATGGTAAGTTTAGGGAGGGGTATATGATTGAGGAGGGTTAGGTTGATATTCTGGGTCATATCGATATCAAGAAGGAGGAGGTGTTGGGTGTCTTGAAAAACATTAATTTAGATAGGTTCCCAGAGCCTGATGGGATCTACCCGGAGAATACTGAGGGAGGCAAGGGAGGAGATTGCTGGGGCCTTGACAGAGATCTTTGTATGCTCTTTAGCCACAGGCAAGGTCCCAGAAGACTGGAAGAGTCAGTGTTGTTCTTTTTTTTTAAGAAGGGCAAAGGGATTGTCCAGGAAATTATAAGCTGGTGAGCTTTACATCATTGATAGCGAAATCATTGGAGAAGATTCTAAGGGGTTAGAAAAGGAATGGACTTAGAAGGGATAGTCAGCATGGCTTTGTGCGTGGGAAGTCTTGTCTCACAAATTCAATTGAAGTCTCAAGAAAGTGACAGAGATGATTGTTGAGGATAGGGCGTGGATATTGTTTGCATGGACTTCACTAAAGTATGTGACAAGGTTGCACATGGTCCAGAATGATGATCCAGAAGATTAAGTCGCTTGGGATCCATAGTGTGTTGGCAATTAGGGTGCAAAATTGACTTGGCCTTGGAAGACAGAGAGTTGTTATGGAGCGGTATTTTTCTGACTGTAGACCTGTGACCAGCAGTGCTCTGCAAGGCTCGGTGCTGAGACCTGTTTCTAATATTGGATGAAAGATAGGTGGTCTGATTAGTAAGTTTTCAGATGACTCGAAAATTGGTGGTGTTATGGATATTGAGGAAGGTTGTCAAGGGATACAGTTAGGATATAGATCATTTGGAAAGTTAGGCAGAGAAATGGCAGATGGAGTGTAATCCAGACAAGTATGAGGTGATGCATTTTAGGAGGTCAAGTGCAAGAGGAAAGTATACAGTAAAAGTTTAGGAGCATTGATATACAGAGGGATCTTGGGGTGCAAGTCCTTAGCTTCCTGAAGGTGGAACACAAGTGGATAAGTTGGGAAGGAAGGTGCGCGGCATGCTTGCTTTCATCTGTCAGGACACTGAGTATAAAAGTTGGCAGTTCATGTTGCAGCTGTTTAAGCCTTTGGTCAAATGACATTTGGAGTAATGCATGCATTTCTGGTGACCAGACTGTAAGAAGAATATGGAAGCTTTGGAGAAGGTACAAAAGAGGTTTACCAAGATGTTGCCTGGATTAGAGTGTATTAGCTATAAGAAGAAGTTGGACAAACTTGGATTGCTTTTGCTAGAGCATCAGAGGCTTGGGGCAATCTGATGGAAGTATATAAAGTTATGAGAGGCGTGGATAGTTGCAATCTCTTTCCCATGGTGAAAATGTCAAATACTAGGGGACATAGAGTTAAGGTGAGAGGGAATAAGTTTAAAGAAGGTGAACGAGGCTAGTTTTTTTAATGCAAAGGATGGTAGGTGGGGGGGGGGGGGAAGGGGGGGGGGGTGCAGGAGGTGGGGTGGTGGTAGAAGCAGATACAACAACAAAATTTAAGAGGTTTTTTACACAGACACAGGGAAGGAATAGAGGAATATGGACCATATGCACGCATATGGGCTTAGTTTAGAATGGCATCATAGAATCCCTACAGTGCAGATAGAGGCCATTCGGCCCACTGAGTCTACACCAACCCTCTGAAGAGCATCCTTCCCCAGCCCCACCCCATCCCCCTAACCCTACAATTCCCATGGCTAATCCAATTAGCGTGCACAACTGGGGACACTACAGGACAATTTAACATGACCAATCTGTCTAACCTGCACGTCTTTGGACTGTGGGAGGAAACCAGAGCACCCAGCGGAAACCCACGCAGGCATGTAAACTCGACACAGGCAGTCACCTAAGGCTGGAATCAAAACTGAGTCCCTGGTGCTGTGAAGCAGCAGTGCTAACCACTGAGCTACTGTGTCACTCTATTGGCTTTCATTGGTGACAGTGGTTAGCGCATTCAATTAATGGCCCTTATGGTCAGCACCAAAATGGTAGACCGAAGGGCTTGCTCCTGTGCTGTACTGTTTTTACAATCTGACTGTAATAGTGAATGAATACTCGTGTTTGAATATCAATCAGGGTTTGAGGTATGGTCGGGAGTGATAGAGAAGATGTGTTTAACCTTGTGTCCATCATCTCTGTTGGGCTCTGGCTGTGGTTAGGTTTGAACTACCTGCAGTACACCTCAGGCTGTGAGCAGCTGGAGGACGGGACTGTCACTGGAAAACGGCATTACGCCTTCAACGGGCGAGAGCTGATCAGCTTCGACCTGGAGCACAGCACCTGGGTTGCAGTCTCACCTTATGCGGAGTCTACCCAGAGAAAGTGGAACAGCAATGCAGGTGACAATGAGTACAAGCGATACTACACAAAGAAGATTTGCATCGAGTGGTTAAACAATTACCTTCGTAAAGGTGCTGCTGTACTGAATCGCAAAGGTAGGTCAGACTCGAACTATGCTGTCACAAGGCAGCCATAAAATCCATGGAAATCGCTCTCCTGCATGCTCACACCATGCAGAGACAAACCCCAGCTTGCTCAGGCACAGTGCAGACATCATTGCAGCTGGGTCAATACAAGATCCACACACACAGGGCAGAGAGTTCAGGGAACAGAGGCCGCCACCCAGGTAATATACAGGGCACAGAACATGATACATAACAGTGTACACAGTGCACAGCACAAAACAGTCTACACAGAGCACAATAAATGTGTACACAGAGCGTAGAGCACAGTAAATGTGTACACGGGGCATGGAGCACTGGACACAGCACAGTACACAGGCCATGGTGCACAGTACACCGCACAGTACACAGACCACGGTGCACAGTATACAGGGCACGGTACACAGTACACAGGGCGTGGTGCACAATACACAGCACAGTACACAGGGTACTGTGCACAATACACAGGACAAAATACACAGGGCATGGAGTACAATACACAGCACAGTACACAGGGTATGGAGCACTGCACACAGCACAGTACACATGTCACATAGCACAATACTGTACGCAGGTCACAGAAAACAAGACACAGCCAACAGTGTACAGTGCACAGCCCATAGCACAGTACACTGAGCTTGACTCAGTTTCTCTCAAGGCCGGCTCCATCAGGGAGGAGCATGAAAATCCCAGAGCTGTTAGTAAGCTGGTAACAGGCAAACGCTGCCAAACTGCATCAAGGTGAAAGCAGCACTGAGGATGGCTAGAGGCTTTGGTGGTAAATTTACTGATTTGCCAAGAGAACGGGACTTGATTAAGGCTCTCACGTAGACTGATCCCCGAGACTGTACTCTTCATTACACCATAGTTGCAGGCAATATTAGAAACTAAAACCAGTCAGAGGGAGCCATTACAGTTAAAGTGAATGTCGCTTTCTCTCTCTCTCTTTCTCTCTCACTCTCTGTCTCCCCCTCTCTTTTCCAGCTGTCCCAGAGGCAAACGTCTACTACACGAATGGGCATAATGTCAACCTGCACTGCCTGGTCACTGGATTTTACCCAAAATCAATCAATGTGACCTGGTTTGCAGACGGAAAGCCAGTCTCTGACACCCATAGCACAGGCATTCTACCCAATCACGATGGCACCTACCAAATAAGGGTAATTTTCCAGATCGAACATGACGATGGCTGTAACTACGTGTGCCGTATTGAACACAGCAGCCTGCCTGCACCGAAGGAGGTACTGTGGGGTAAGAGATGGGACTGACCCATAGGCTCCGAATGGGAATACACTGGGGAACGGATGGGGATAACCCAGTATCAAAAACGAGAATGAAGTCAGGGTCAGAAATCGGTGCAAGTGGGCGTAAAGCATGAGAGTAAGTTGGGATAAGTGATCGGAATGCGATTGGGTGAGGAATGGTGGGAATCCGGGGAAAGGAATGGAATGTAATAGAATAGGAATGTGGACCATCAAGAATAAAGAATGGAATGGTGTAGTGGGTAGCGTCCCTGTCTTTGAACCAGAAATCCCCGGTTTGATTCTCTCTCTGGGAGATGGCAGTCCTGGAAGATGTTCATTTTTAAACAATTATTTATTCATTTACAGGATGTGGGCATCACTGGCTAATGCCACAGCATTTACTGCCCATTTCTGATTGTCCAAACCCATCTCTGATTGTCCAAATGGATAGTTAAGAGTCATTGCTGTGGCTCTGTAGTCACATGTAGGCCAGACTGGGATAGGATGACATTTTCTCTCCCTTAAGGAGCATTGTTGAACCAGATGGCTTTTTCCCTGACAAGTTTCATGGTCATCATTAGACTCTTTATTCCAGATATTTATTGAACGCAAAGTCCACCATCTGCTGTGGTGGAATTCGAACCCAGGTTCCCTGGTCATTAGTTGAGTGTCCTGGATGAACAACCTAGCGATAATATCACTAAGCCATTGCCTCCTCTCATGACTCAGTATGCAGTCTTTGTGAGGAACACCTTGGTACCAACAGCGTAGAGTTTGATCTTTGTCCCAGCTCAGCAATCTCCTTGGAGGGATATGGACTGGCTGCAGGCAGGTGGGACTAGTTTAGTTTGGGATTATGTTCAGCATGGACTGGTAGGAGTGAAGGGTTTGTTTCTGTGCTGTGTGACTCTATGACTCGAAGAAGGAATGGGAATAGCTCAGGAGGAGAAGAATTAGAAATAGCCAGGGATTAGGAATGCCAGGATGCAATGGGAATAAGAATGCATTAGGAGCAACCTGAATGGAAAGACTGGTTTCCATGATGAGGAGATTAGGAGTGATTTTCCTGGGTCATATTCAGATTAAGCTGAAGGGATCCTTGCATGCGCTGGGAGAAGAGAAACGTAGCTTTATTGTTCACTTTTCCTGCAGTTTCCTGACTGCTAAGAGTGTGAACGTTCTCAGCAGTTAACGTCCTTGTTGTTGTCTGAACTGCAAAAATATTTACCCTCTGCGGACACACCCCTGCCTCAGCTGCCCTTTGAACTCTCTGCAACTCTCCCACCCCTTTGCATTGGGACGCTGATCCTTCTGCATCACTGTCCCATTCAGTGTCATCTCCATCCCTTGGAATGGCCTTAGGCTCCCTCAGAACCTACTCCTGGTGTGTGCTGGGTGACTTTGAGGACTCCCATGGCTCAAGGGCATTTGACCCATCACTTCTCTCCTGGATAACTGCAATGATGACCAGAGCTGCGGAGGCCAGAGGAGAAGAAAGTTTAGCTATTCCATTGGGTTGGGACATTTCAGGCTGGGATGAGGGCATCAGGGGCTGAGACTCAATGCGTTCCTTTATTCTTTCAGAAAAAGGTGGCGGTGTGGTACCACTGGTGATTGGCTGTATCATTCTGCTTTTGCTGTTAATTTTCTGCATCGGAGCTGGCGTTTACTACTGCAAGCACAAGGATGAAGTGAACAAAACAGTCACCAACTGCTTGGGTCATGGTGAGAGTTGTGATTTATTGATCTCCATTCATCTGTCACAGTCATCGCACAACATTTTGCAATTGGTGAATGGGATCCAGTTTAAAGCAAAGCCTCGCTGTTTCAGGACCCTTGTAAAGACCTTTCCAATGGGAATAATGTGGTTATGCAGAAATCAGAGCAGTGAGTTGATACACAGCAAGATCCAATTAACAGCGATTGACCAAACAATGAGCTGTCATACACACTGTTGAGGTATCAATACTACCCACAATGCATAGTGACATGTGCCCGCTCTCCCTATTTGGAGTGCACCTCAGGCTAATGACTCATCCAAAAAATGGCCTCTTTAGAAAATGTACCTCTACCTTGCTGTGGCCGTTCAAATACTCAGCCACTGCCACAGTTCGACACCTCTAGCAAAGAAGCGTTCCCTCAGCATGCACCCACTGACAGTGCGGCATTCCCTCAGTATGCACCCACTGACAGTGTGGCACTCCCTCAGCATGCATCCACTGACAGTGCGGCGCTCCCTCAGCATTGACCCTCCCACAGTGCAGCATTCCTTCAGTACTGACCCTCCGACAGTGCGGCGCTCCGTCAGCATGCACCCACTGACAGTGCGGCACTCCCTCAGTACTGACCCTCCAACAGTGCGGCACTCCCTCAGCTCTGACCCTCCGACAGTGCGGCACTCCCTCAGGACTGACCTTCTGACAGCGTGGCATACCCTCAGTACTGGATATCCTCACTCTCCAAATCCCTGTTTGTTTCAGTCATTTCCATTGCCTGTGTTAGCAACTCTGACGAAAGCAATCCCTAAGCAATTTCACACAGTCATTTGAAAAAAAAGAATGCTGGAAATCACAGTGGGTCAGGCAGCAAGCTGATGTGTCGATTCTAGATGACTCTGATGAAGAGCCATTTAGCCTCGAAATGTTAGCTTTCTCTCTCTTCATGGATGCTGCCGGACCTGCTGTGATTTCCAGCATTTTTTGTTTTTAGTAAGTTGCAGCATCTGCAGTAATTTGCTTCTTCACCCAGCCATTACTCTGACTTACCACATGACAAATCCAATTGCTCACAAAGCTTGTCAATGATTGCACGATCTTCGCACCAATATCTTGATGACTGAGGCTGTGCATTTTTTATTTCTTTAGGATCTATGGCAAGTAACTCTTCATCAAGCAGTGAGTACATTCGCAATGGATTGAATTCTAGTGCAATTATTTGTAAAGTCTGTTCTGGGGAATGATGGCAGTGCCAGTCTGATTCATCACAGTACATCTCAAATCTAAGGGAGCATTGGGAAGTTTCTGGGGAGTGCTGGAAGAGAAGGGACTGAGAAGAGACAGACAGATAAGAGAATGTGGAGCTTTTGCCATGTCCTGTTTGCTGACTGAAGGTGCACTGACAGTGAATGCAGAGTTCCACAATGAGTTTCCGTCTTCTCCCGTGTTGCTCAGGGAATGCACTGAGTTGGTTGGCTTTCTCCCAAAATCACTGCAATGGCAGGATGGCGGTCTGCACACCTTCCCCGTGATGGACAAGTATCTTGTCTTGGTTTCTAGATCAATGCTTTGGTGTGGCCTGAAGAGCTTCCCATGGTGGACAGATATCTGCACATTACCTAGATCAATGGACTGGCATGGTCTACACAGCTCCCTATGCCAGACAGATATCTGGACCGGGTTTATAGATCAATGCACGAGTGTGGTCTGCACAGCTCCCCATGGTGCCTAGAGATCTTAGAAACACGGAAACAGAAAAACGAGATGCAGGAGTAGGGCATTTGGCTCTTCGAGCCCCCCCCGCACCACCATTCAATACACCTTCTCACCATATCCGTTGATCCCTGTAGCCGCAAGGGTCACGTCCAGCTCCCTCTTGCATATATCTAATTAACTAACCTCAACAGCTTTCTGTGGCAGAGAATTCCACAGGTTCACAATTCTCTGAGTGAAGAAATTCTTCCTCCTCTCAGTCTTGAATGGCTTAGCCCTTACTTTTAGACTGTGACCCCTAGTTCTGGACTTCCCCAATATCAGAAACATTCTTCCTGCATGTAGCCTGTCCAATCCCATGAGGATTTTATATGTTACCATGAGATCCCCCCTCATTCTTCTAAATTCCAGCGAATACAAGCACAATCGATCCAGTCTTTCCTCATATGTTTCTAGATCAGTGCACTGTTGTGGTCCTCAGAGCTTCCAGCCCTGGACAGATGTGTATTCCAGGTTTACAGATCAATACACTGGTATGGTCTCCACAGCTCCTCATGCTGGACAGATATCCCAGAGATTCTCAGCTGCGAATGATCTGGGAGAAGGCCGTCTTGGAATTCCTGTTTTTCTCCCCCCATTGTTCTGTTGCCTGGTTATTGGAGCATGGGCAAGCAACTGGAGAAAGCGTGGCCTCCATAGGGGTCACATGACTCAGCACAGGTCACCTTGACCCATCGCTGGCCACAGTGACATGGCAGAGACTGTGAGCCATGTAGCCATCAATGGGGGCTGTGCACCGAGCACAATAAGACAGCTGGTTATAAATGACTCTCCGTCAACTTGATTCACTGACATTTCGCCATTTCTCTCTTCATTAGGTACTGACGGCAGCCAGACACTGGATGGCAACAATTCAGACAGCAGTGATAATGCAAAGCCCCTTATGTCAGGTCCACCAAGCAAACCCAGTACGGAACGCAATAAGCAAAGTGTGCAAACACCACTGGTTCAAAACCCAGACGGCCCATCCCAGACCTTGCCTATTGCTGGGGCTTCACTTGATCAGATGACAGTGGAAATTGAAAAATAGCATTTTGCACTTCTTCTACATCCTCCTTGATTCTCTGTGACATTTTCTCCACTCTGTTGTCACGATTTAAATTAGATATTAATCCTTTTAACTGTGAACTTTCAGCTCTCAGACCAGGTAAGGATGGTAGTTTCCTTCCCTGAAGGGCATAAGTGAACCAGATGGGTTTTTCCCGACCATCGACGGTGGATTCATGGTCATCATTAGATTCTTAATTCCAGATTTTTTTATTGATTTCCGTGGCAGGATTCGAACCCAGGTCCCCGGAACGTTATCTGGGTCTCTGAATTAACAGTCCAACTATAATACTATTGGGCCATCGCCTCCCGTTTGTCTAATAATTACTATGAATTGTTGTTCTGTACTGATTTGGTTGACTTATGCCAAGTCAGTAAGGAATTCTGTCATCTTTTCCCCTATATGTGACTCCAAACCCACAGCCATATGGTTGATTCTTGGGACCGGCCTATCCAGTGACACCCAAAAAGAGACCTCATGCAAGCTCTGTGATCAGCTGATCCACTCAATGCTCTTTCCATGAGTCTGATCGGACTAGCCAAAGGTGCCCTCTGAGCCTTTCATGATCCAGTGGATGGGTAAGTCCTGTCCACACTCTCCCTGCCCTGTGTATTCCTGCCTTATTGGCTGCAGATGCTCAAGAGCTGCGAGAATAAGCAATAAGGAGCAAGAGAACCCAACATCAACAGAGTGAGTGGGCACTGCTCTCTCAGCTGGGTCTGACATGGGTCAGCAACATTCCGTTGAATACAAGTCCAGTCTCATGCCTCATATAAAACTGAGATACCAAACACAAGTGGGAAATTGGCACAGAATGGCCTTATAAGAACATAAGAACTAGGAGCAGGAGTAGGCCATCTGGCCCCTCGAGCTTGCCCCGCCATTTAATAAAATCATGGGTGATCTTTTTGAGACTCAGCTCCACTTACCCGCCCGCTCACCATAACCCTTAATTCCTTTACTGTTCAAAAATTGATCTAGCCTTGCCTCAAAAACATTCAGCAAGATAGCTTCAACCACTTCACTGGGCAGGGAATTCCACAGATTCACAACCCTTTGGGTGAAGAAGTTCCTCCTGACCTCAGTCCTACATCTGATTCCCTTTATTTTGATGCTATGCCCCCTAGTCCTAGTTTCACCTGCTAGCGGAAACAACCGCCCTGCTCCACCTTATCTATTCCCTTCATAATCTTATATGTTTCTATAAGAACTCCCCTCATTCTTCTGAATTCCAATGAGTATAATCCCAATCTACTCAATCTTTCCTCATAATCCAACCCTCTCAACTCTGGAATCAACCGAGTGAATCTCCTCTGCACCCCCTCCAGTGCTAGTATATCTCTTCTCAAGTAAGGAGACCAAAACTGCACACAGTTCTCCAGGTGTGGCCTCACCAGGACCCTATACAGCTGCAGCATAGCCTCCCTGTTTTTAAACTCCATCCCTCTAGCAATGACAGACAAAATTCCATTTGCCTTTTTAATTACCTGCTGCACCTGCAATCCTACTTTTAGTGATTCATGCACAAGGACACCCAAGTCTCTCTGCACAACAGCGTGCTGCAATTTTTTACCATTTAAAACATAGTCCATTTTGCTGTTATTCCTACCAAAATGGATGACCTCACACTTACTATGTTCTTATAACAGAATCGGGACCGTACATGAGACTTTCAACATAATTAGCAATAATATATTTGTAAATCGATATTGTACTTTAATCTATAATATATTCTGGGGCACCTTAGCACTTGGGAGTAGACTAATGCTCTTTGTTCAAGGTTAGCAGAATGGGTTAGCGCTTGAGCAAATTTTAATGTGAGGACAGGTGGGGTTTTAATGCTCAGAACAAAATAATCCTCAGTGGAGTTGGGGTGGGGGTGAGATTAATGCTCCAGACGCATTAATCCTCTGAAGGATAAAGCTCAAAAAGGGGATTTAATACTCTGAGGAAGCTTCCTAAGCCTAGAGTGTATCAATACTCAGACTGGTTGTTGCTTGGAGGGAGTTAATGATCAAGGGTGAGGGTCAATACTTGGTGAATTTTAATGCTTGTGTGGGGATCTTTAAAGTGGTCAGAAGTAGATTAATGCTTTGAGCTGACCTAAATGCTCATAGAGATTAATAATCGGAGGGACATTTAATTCTTGAATGATGGGAGATTCGATGGGAGAATTAACATTCCAAATGGATTAATTCTTGGAAGTAGATTAATGCTTGCCTGGGAGGGTTATTGCTGTAGTCAGATTAATCCTTGGAGGGAAATTAATGCTCAGAGGCAAGAGTTAAGGCTCCGGTAGGGAGGAGAGAAGTGAGGTGTTAAGACTTGTTTGACATATGAACAAAGAAACATAGACAATAGGTGCAGGTATAGGCCATTCAGCCCTTCGATTCTTCACCATCATTCAATATGGTCATGGTTGATTGTGCAATCTCAGTATCCCATTCCAGCCTTCTCCACATATCCCTTCATCCCTTTAGCCATAAGGGCCACATCCAGTTTACTCTCAAATATATCTAATGAAGTGGCCTCAACGGTTTCCAGTGGGAGAGAATTTCACAGGTTCACAACTCGTTGAGTGAAAATTTTTTTCCTCACCTCAATCCTGAATGGTTTACCCCTTATTGTTAGACTGTGACTGCTAGTTCTGGACTTCCCCAACAGCAGGAACATTCTTCCAGCATCTAGCCTGTCCAGTCTCATCAGGGTTTTAAATACTTCTATGAGATCCCCCTTCATTCTTGGAGGGGATGTGGAAGATTTAATGATTGAGAGGATTAATGATCTGAGGGCATAATTGTTTGAAGCTGGCAATTATAATATCTTAAGATTTGTCAAGAATGTCAGTCATAATTTTCAGTTTTATCCTCACCTCTGTACAGTGCCTCTTTTGTGTAATTTCTCTTTGTTATTCTATCTTTTTACTTGTGATTTTGCAACATCAAATAAAGAAGCCAGGTGTGTGGTTGTGTCTGACACCAAATTCTCATCCTCCACTTCAACAGATAGATCCTGTGTTATCCCTGGGAACACCATCACTCTCTGGAATGGTAGCAAAGCCCTGTGGGAAATCCGTCAATGTTTTCATTCTGATCCCATTGTACGTGCAGCTGGGAAGGACTAGGAGAGGATGGGGAGGGGAGATTAGGTGTGGGTAGCGGATGGAGGGAGTGTAGAGTGGGACGGACCAGGGGAGGAAAATTGAGCGTGAGAATGATATGAGGGGAAAAGAGGAGGTGGCAGAGGACATCTTTCCCCGATTGCTTTACTGTGATGCCAACTGCGAGGACACAATTCCCAGAAATGGCTACTTCCTATCCCACATTTCTTATATGAGCAGAAGTAGATTATTTGGTTGCCTGACCCTGCTCTATCATTTAATGAAGTCATGGCTGATCTGTCTGTGTTACAAATTCCATGCCCCCATCTATGGCCAATCACCTTTCATTCCTCTGTCTGTCAAGAAACCTATCTGCCTCTGTCTTAAAAATATTCAATAACCCCACCTCTTACACCTTCTGAGACATAGAATGCCAAAGTCACAAAACCACTGAATAGAAAGACAAGACTTAATCTCTTATCTAAAGTGTGCCCCTAATTTTAAAACTGGACCCTGGTTCTGACTGATCCACACTGTCAAGAGCATTCAGGATCTTATGAAGCTCAAGAAAGTCACCCCTGATTTCTTCTAAGCTCCATTGGAACAAGCCCAAGCTTGTCCAATGCCACTTCATAAGACAACCCACTCATCCCAGGTATCAAGCTGGTTCTTTGAACGAGCCTCCAATGCATTGACATCTTTCCTTAAAATTGGAGACCAAACCTGCACACAAAATTCAAGATGTGGTCTCACCAGTGCCTTGTACAATTGAAGAACAACATCCTTACTTTTATGTTCAATTCTTTTTGTAATAGAGACAATATCCCATTAGACTTCTCAATTGCCTGCTGTGACTGCATGCTAAGGTTTTGTGACTCATGCACTAGACCACTTAAATCACCCTGCACCTCAGAATTCTACAGTACTTCTCCATTTAAGTCATATTCTGCTTTATAATTCTTCCTACCAAAGCGAACCGCATCACACTTTTCGACATTGTACTCCATCTGCCAGATTTTTGCCCATTCCTTCACTCTATCTATATTCATCTGCAACTTCTCTATATCTTCTCAACTTAACTATCCTCAGTGCCATCTGCGAATTTAGCTGCCATACCTTTGTGTATGGTTTGTAGGATATTGATGTGGAATGTACAATGTTGATGCCCCAGCACAGACCTCTGCACCATCCATCTATTCTATACTCAGACAATGATTCTTTGTGGGTACTCTCCGGTTTCTGTTAGCCAATCTTCTATCCATGCTAATAGGTTTTTTTTCATTAATGGGGTGTAGGCATTACTGGCTAGGCAGCATTTATTGCCCATCCCTAATTGCCCAGAGGGCAGTTCAGAGTCAACCACATTACTGTGGGCCCGGAGTCACATGTAGGCCAGACCAGGTAAGGATGGCAGTTCCCTTCCCTAATGGTCATTAGTGAACCAGATTAGTTTTTCCAACAATCAACAATGGATTCATGGTCATCATTAGATTCTTAATTCCAGATATTTTTATTCAATTCAAATTCCACCATCTGCCAATGTGGGATTTGAACCTGGGTCCCCAGAATGTTATCTGGGTTTCTGGATTAAAAGTCCAGCAATAATACTACCAGGCCATCACCTACAACAAAGAGCTTTTATTTTCTGCAGTAACCTTTAATCTGGCACTTTTTCAAATGCCTTCCAGAAATCAAATACAGTGCATCTACAGGTTCCCCTTTATCCATAGTACACATTACGCCTTCAAAGAACTCCAGTCAATTAGTTAAGCATGATTTCCTTTTCATAAACTATGCCAACTCTTCCCGATGATCACAAGATTTTCTTCTGAGTATAGCTGTAATCTCTTTAATGGTTGATTCTAACATCTAAATTATTTTTTAGTGGAAGTGACTGATGATGCTACAAACTTTTTCTGCATTGCCCCACAATATATACAATGTGGAAATTTCCCCTTTCCCTCCCTACATTACAGCTTATACTACCTATTGCATCCTT